CCTTCATCCTTCCACTGGTAGAGCCTTTTCTCTCCACTCCCTCATCCCTCCCCACCCCAGCAATGTCAGGTCCTAGAAAATCTTCATCCCCCATTGTCACTGGCCCAAATCAGATCGCCTTATTTCCTGTTTTCCGAGCAGTCTCCTCGCCACCTGTCTAGGATGTAGTTTGTGCTGGTCACCTCTATAAAAGCAGCCTATCCAAAGCACAGCTCTGACTGTGTCTGTTATGGGTTGATCGCTGTCCCTCCCCTCCAAGAAAAAAATGTGTCCAAATAAATCCTAACCCCTTGTACATGTGAATGTGATCTTATTGGGACGTAACGCCATCTGGCCCATCTCTGACCGCCCCACACAGCTTAGCACACTGCCTGGCATACAGCTGGCCTGCCAGAAATATATTTCACATTGATGTGCTGTGTGCCATTTCCTTTCTTCAAGAAAATCAGCATTGTACCTGTCAAGGGCATGGGTTTTTGGAGTCAAACAGACTTGGCTTTGGATCTGGGTTCTAGGCTAACCAGTCTGTGTCCCAAGTCTCAATTTACTCACCTGAAAAATGGGATGATAACAATTCTTACCTCACAGACTTGTGAAGATGAGAAGAACCCACCTACTGTAGTAGACATCCAGTACCAATGGCCAAGCTCCACTGAGCATGGTGGTTCTCTTCTTCTGGAAACCAACATGTAGTCTCAGGGTCTTCTGACCCTATCCTATCCCCGGCCAGCATCACCTGGTCCTAGACTATACACTTGACCTGTGGGGACCAATCAGGTCCCTCTTTGGGATCCTTTGCCCTGGAAGAGAGGAGAGTTGATCCTCCCCTTGTGGTGGGAGCTGCAGGTGAGAGTTCAGACACAGAGCATCCTGGTGTCCATCCAGGTCCCCTTCTGAGGGTTCCTGAGGTTCTGTACCAACTCCGCCCTTCCGGCTCTTTGATTATTTGAACCTTGCTTTTATTACCTGGGGTGTCCACATCACTTCCAGTACATTCCCCTCTTCGCCTACACTGGTTCAAACTCGGTTTCTATCACCTGCAGCCCAGCAGGTCCTGACTGGCACAGCACATGAAGGGTCTGACACAGAGTAAGAACACAATCATTGCTAGTTCCCTCCTCCAGGGAAGAGACTAGTGTAATTCCGAGTCCCAGAGAGGGTGTCCCAGAAAGGAACAGAACCTTCGTTCAATTTTCAGATTTTCACATCTGGGAGATGAGGGGGCAGCCTGGCTGGGGCCCCCCATGCTGAAAACACTTCAGCCCTCAGCTGAGTGTGGAATTCTAAACATTTCATTCCTACCTCCTGATTACGAGCACAAATAATTAATTTATGAGCAAAAAACAAACAAGCTGAATGAAAACTTAAAGACAGGGAGACACAAGACTAAGGAGGAAGCTTGGCGTTCATAAAGACAGAAGATTTTTAAAATTCTCGGGAGACGGTAAAGTTGGGTAAGCAGCAGAACCACTCCAGATGATTGACAGCCGGGGATCGCGGGCAGGCAGGCCTGTGTGCGCATCATCTTGTCCCTGCCGCCCTCCAGGAGGCTCTGCTCCAAGGGGGGCCCCGCTTGACGAGAATGTGACCGGCCACAGACTCACCCGGATTTACACCAGAAAGTGGCCTTTGCCTGAAGGCACGTATTCCAAATAATTGCTTCTGAAGAAGGAAGTCGGCGGGGTTGCAGGCTACAGGGGAGTTTCACCTTTTACTCGGCACACTTCTGTATTGTTTACTCTTTCACTTTGGGCCCGGATTAACGGTTTACTTCACAAGTATTTAGGAAAGCGGGAACGTGGTTGCCGTGAGTGCTGTGCGCTCCTGGCTCGCCGTCCTCCTGCAGAGTCCTCCGTGGGGCTCTTGCTGAACCGAGAGTTTCCCTCCTTCTCCTTTTTCCTGCCGCAGCCCCGTGGGCTCATCTTCCTCGGGCACAAACTACCCAGGCCCCGACATTTAGCTGAGAGGCTGCCTGCCGCTGCCGAGGCCCCAGGACCTAGGGAGGCGGGGCGGCTCCGTCTGCTTCCCATATGGGGACTTTGTCTGTCCCTGCCTGAGGGCCGCCCCCCTCCTGCCTCACATTGTCCCCTTGCTGTCGCCTGCTGGCCCAAGCCCTGGCCTGCCTCTTCCCTTTTCATTAGCCTCCTAGTGGCAGCCCCGGGCAGGACACAGGGGGCTGGGAGGGGGGCTGGGTTTGGCTTGTTCTTCTCCAGCCTTGGAGCCCCTGGCCAGCTCACCCTGGACTCTTCCCAGCGCAGAGCCTCAGCCTCGAGTGCGCACATGGGGGTCGTGGAAGGAGCGCCAGGCCGCCAGGCCTCCTAATGTGCTGGTGAGTCTGCTGGCGGCCCTGGCTCGGGCCCCGGAAGAGAAGCGAGGAGAAGGCCACAGCTGCCCCCCCATCTCCCTTGCAAAACACCCCCTCACTTTATGATTCCTGGCCCAATGGGAGTGAGGCTGGGAGCCCCCCGCAGCCATTCAGGTCTGGAGCTGTCACACTGGGGGGAAATCTAGGGAGTGAGGTAAGGGGAGGGAATACTTCAGCAATGCTCTGACTCTGTGGGAGAAGGGTCACTGGGGTTTGTCGATAGCGGATAAATTCTCACAAAGCCTCTTTCTAGGTATTTAAGACAGATCACATAACTGGGTGTAGCGTCTAGGAGAGACCAAAAGACAAACATCCAATGGCTTCAGTCTCAGCCCCCAGCACCCTCAACCCGAAACCCTCACTCCAACAAGCCACACTCCACCCCTTCTCTCCCCAGATGGTGTTCGTCCAGACCTCTTCAGAGTTTTCTCCTCTATTCATCATTTGAGGCCCAGGTTGAGGTTCTTTTCTTCCAGAAGCTTCCCCCAGCCCTCCTCACCTCCTTACCCGCCCCCCCCCATGTGATTCAGTTGTCGAAGGGGGTCTGAGAATTTGCATGGCCAACAAGCTCCCGGATGATGCTGATGCTGTAGGTACAGGAGAACAGCTGACTTGAATCATTCCCTAGGCATGGGACTCTTACGGGGGGAGATGGGAAGGGTGAAGAGGGTTGAGAAGCCCAATACAAAGGCAGAGAAAGCCTCTTCGGTAAACACACTCACACACACACTCACGGCGTGTTGCTTAGTACAAAGATCACGGAACTTAAAGCCAAGAGACTTGGATTACCCACCACCTGCCCGTTCGCAGGCTGCCAGGCTTTGTACAAACCTCTTGTAGCCTCAGTTTCCTCCTCTGTAAATAAGGATGATAATAATCCTGACTGCGAGTTTATTGGGTGGATCTAATAAGATTATTATGCCTGTGAAAGCGCTTTGTAAACTCTAGGAGCTAGGCAGGTATTAGCTTGCGAGGTTGTGAGATTTATTGTGTTTATCAGACCCGCAGTGTTTACTATGTGTCACACAGTGTTTTAAGTGCTTTATAAATATTAACTCATTTGTCCGTCACCATAATCCTATCAAGGAGGAACTTATTATTAGGATGATGATTCTCAGCTTATAGATGTGAAAACCGAGGTTGAGTAACTTGCTCCAAATCACGCAGCCAGCAAACGGCCGAGCTTGGGTTCGAACTGTGGCTCCTGAGTGCACTGCTCACCCCCACTCTGTGCCACCTCTGCGTGTCAGCCTATATTTCTGTCAGTGTGTGCGCCTTTGCCTGCGTGTGTGTTATCTGAGTTTGCAAGAGGTTCTGCTTCCCATGAGTGGTTACGTGTGTGTGCCAAGTGTGTGCAACGTGATGATAAGAGTGACAGTGATGAGTTATTGCGCATTTACTCCTCTCTGCTGGGCACTGTGCTGACCAAAGCTATCGCCGAGTTCCTACCGCCCCACATGGTAGACCCTACTATTACTCCCATCTTCTGTTGAGGCATGCTGAGTGAGGTCAACTAACTTATCCAAGGTCACACGCCTCAAGACGAGGGGGGCAGGTAGATTTAAATGGACGCCTTCAGAGCCTTTACTCTTAACTCCTATGCTGCACTGAATGTGTCTCTATGATTGGTGTGGGGATGTGTATGTCAGGGTGTGTTTGCATGTACGTGTCTGTCTTTCTGTCCATCATTTGTCTGCCTCTTCTGCTGCCAATCCATCCATCCATCTATGCATCCATCCATCCCTACTTATCTGTTATTGCCACCTGGGGTCATTGCCCAGGGTGGAATTTTCTGGAAGCCAATGTATGGAGGCCTAGAGGAGAGGTAAGAGAGAGAGCTGTGGTCTCTTTCAGCTGGCTCAAAAAATACCCAGGTTCCTGTTATGCGTTCCTTTGACTCTAGAGTCCCTCTAAGGGACAAAGCCCTGCCGAGGTTTGCAGGGGGAGAGGTCTTACCTAAAAGGGTGGGTGCACCCCTTTTCTCATCGCCATCACCCCAGGCCAGTGGGCAGGCATTAGGCGGGCACAGAGGGGCCCTCATCACACTCTCTGAAGGCAAATAGGGACTGACCGTACATCTGTCTGTGTCAGTGCTCCTTCAAGGGACCAGAATCTGTGCATTGGGTCCAAACTAGTTTGTCTCTTCAAGGGCGATTTGCTTCATGTTTCTCCTTAACATTTACTAACTTGGGGGAGGGGGTGCTAAATCTGGTTTTAAACAGAGAGAAAGCTGAAAGGCAGAACTGAGGTAATGCTTCCAGGAAAGGGGGATTGGTGGACAAAAGAATGAAAGATTTGGGAGACGAGAAGGGAATAGACCAGTGTGACCAAGAAGGTTTCTTGGTGGGGTGGGGACCACATTACCTGGATGTGATGGGGTAAGTATTATTTTCTATTTTGAAGAAAAATGTGTGAGGTTTATACTGTCTCAGAACAAATAGGCCTGTGACTGATGGATAGTTTACCATTCATGTGGCTGGTTTCATGTACTTTTGACAGCTCAATCAGGATTCCAACGGTTACAAAAAATGATTTTCTTCTAGGAAGTCGTAGGAGGGGAGCACGTACCCCTCGCCCCCGCCCTGTGCCCACTCAGCGCCATAGTGCGGAATGGAGGAGAGACGTGGATGTATAGAGGAGCATGGGCATGGGCAGAGGCCCCCAGAGTCTTCCTGGGTTGGGCACATGGTGGCTCACTTCTTGGGGCTACCTTGAGACTCTGGTCGAACTGACGCCTGGAGGGCCATTCAGGAAGGCCCGTGAGCCTTCACTGTCTCCGGAACTGAGATTGGGAAGGGGCCGTGGAACGTGGAGGAAGAGAGGAGCCCTTCAGAAGCCCAGGAGAGTCAGACCCACATAAAGACTGGCCTTGAGGCCATGTGGAAGATTTGTGGCTCCTCCAACCTGAATGCAGCCTGTGACCAAACCACTGTCTCAGCTGTCTCACTCCCTGGGCAAGAAGGGGACCATGAGGACAAGGAGAAGAGCTGTGGTGGTTCTCCTGGCCTCCAAGTGGTGGTGGGAAATGTGGCAGTGGCCAAAGCAGGAAGGTGGAAGGTAGAAGGCAGTATTTGGCCACGTGCATGTGCCCAGGGCCATTTTGGGTTTGGGTTCACCCACTTTACACATATTTCAAAATTGAGCAGTCCAGACTGGCACCACAGATCAGTTAGAGGCAGAGGAGGTGGCGAAGCTGAAAGCACAGAAAAACTCTAGCCGGGCGACAGGTCTGAGAGCCACCCAGAGCCAGCATCACTCATTTACCTGCCACAGACCCGCCACCAGAGATGACTCCAAGCCTCTGGCCTACAGCTTGGAGGGGATTAGTGGGAGCTTCAAGGTGACTTCCAAGGAGGCAGTCTCCAGGTGTACCCAGTTCTGCCCCAAGCACACATGGGTCCCCCCGAAGAGCAAGGCTGTTCCTGAAATTTTTTTTTTCAACATCACTCATAACATAAGCAGGCTCTGGAGTCTGGCTACTTGGGTTCAAATCCCTTCTTCTCCATTTACCAGCTATGTGACCTTGGGCAAGCCACTTAACTTCTCGGGGTCCAGCTTCATCATTTGCAAATGGGTATATATTAGAATAATCTCAAAGGCTGGCTGAGAGGGTTCAATTCACTCACTAAGTGATCATGTTACTGCACCTCTCTCTTTCTCATACTTACCTTTCCATTAATATCAACGATGTGTGAGGGATAATTTAACATAACTCTACTTTAAAATGTATACCAAGCACTGTAGTAGGTGTTGAGGATCCAGTAGAGGGTGACGAGTATGCTATTAACTAGCATTTACCAAGCACCTACCCTATGCCAAAGTTCTAAATACTCGACATATATTACTTCACTCACAAATGTTATTGTCTTCATGAAGCTAACAATTCAAAAAAATGTCTTAATTTTATTTATTTATTTATTTATTTATTTTGAGGGAGAGGGTGTGTGTGCATGCACATGTACATGTGAGCAGAGGAGGGGCAGAGGGGGGGGGCGGAGAGAGAGAATCCTAAGCAGTCTCCGTGTAGTCAGCACAGAGCCTGATGCAAGGCTTGATCTCACAGACCAAATTGTGAGGTCATGACCTGAGCCAAAATCAAGAGTTGGACGCTTAACCGACTGAGCCACACAAGCGCCCCACGATTTAAACATTTTTGAAGTTTTAAAACAAAAATGTATTAAAGTAATCACGACACCCAACATGGGGCTCAAATTCACAACCCCAAGATCAAGAGTTTCGTGCTCTTCCAACTGAGCCAGCCAGGTGCCCCCATGAAGCTACCAATTTACGTAATAATAAAATTGTATATTAACAACTTTACATGCGATACATAATGTCACCCTCACAAGAACCCCATGAGGGAGATGTTGCTCTAGTTCCACAGATGAGGAGATCAAGATTGAGAAAGGTCTAGCGGATTGGAATTAATGGGACTTCGATTCAAATCCTGTTCTATGGCTCAAAGCCCATGGAGTCCCTACCACGCCATGCCACTACCTCTGCATTGCCAAATATTCCCAAATGCATTGTCATGCCTGTAGAAATGCAGGTCTTCTGTCCAGAGTATGTGCTCCCGTGTGGCTGGATGTCTGGGCCTGGAGGCAGTTCTACGGATGCTTATGATAATAAGTAGAGGGGGTCTGTGTAACTCTATTTCTGCTTCTTCTACCTGAAGGAAGACCATTTATGTGACGTTGAGGATTGTGCAGTTAAGCGCAGCCGTGGTCTGATGATGGCTCAGTGAAACCATGCGTGTGGGTATGGCGGTACATCTGCTCAGCTGATTGTGGGTCCGTGTGGTTTGGTTTGCATCGGTTTGAGGGGCTCTTCTGATTCCCTCCTAAGAGGAAGGGAAAGAGGTGCTAGGAGCCGGGAGCTGGTGGCCTGCTACCCGGACCCGTCCGGTTGGGGGCATCTACTGTGCCTGGGCCTTGCCTGCTGGCTCCGGTGCCTGGTGCTGGGTTTCAGGCCAAAAGATGGAGAAGCTCATTTCCCCCTTAAACACCGCAGATTAAAGGCCCGCAGTGGGCACGGGCGGGAGGGCGCCGTGTCGCTCACGTTACAAATCAATTCATTACCGGCACTCGCAGTCGCCTCCGATCTTCAAGGATCGGGGGTTTGATGAAGAGGGTTCATTTCAAGAAATAAACCTTTTAAATTAACCACGAGATGAGGGAAATTTCTTTATTTAAAAAATGCTCAGGCCCTGCTGGCTTTGTTTTCTCTCTCTTATTAGCGCCGTTATTAATAATCCCACCCTTTCTCTCCAGGGGATGGTCCACCCTGCCTGCGGAGGCAGAGTGAGCCAGTCAGACGTGGGGACAGGCCCCCAGCCCTGGGCTCCTCCGGCCAGGCCTGTCTGCTCTATCAGGCCTCCAAGGTCCAACAATGGACCCCACCCAGGCTCCTACACCCCAGATAGATTCTCAGGCAGATGGCCATGAACCTGCTGTGTGACCTTGGGCATGTCACCCGACCTCTTTTTTCTCAACAGCAAAAGGAACATAGAATCACCACTTTCTACAAGTGCACCTTAAAGTTAGGAGTTCAGGCCTCGCATGTTGTCAGTGAGAAATCGGACCCCGAGAGGCAAAATGAGTCATCCAAAGGCACACAAGATCTTCACAGCAGAGGTGGTTTTGACATCAGCCTAACTCTTGGTCTAGTTTTCTACCTGGAAACATGCGTTCGGATCTGGGATCTAAAAATCACAAAGCCCCTTGGTATATATCATCTCCCTGGATGTGTACTAGTAATTTGTCAGCTGTATCTTACCATCCCTGTTTTACAGATGAGGAGGTTGAGGGGCTCTGGGAATGTCCCAACCAGAGTTTCAACGGGAAACATAAGAAGTATACTCTGTTGGTTCATCTGAGGAGAGTTTAATAAAACAACTATTTACAAAAGTAGGGGCGAGGATTAGAAAAAGTGGAAGTAGTGATGCAGTGTCACAGGGCCGGTAACAGCGGGAAGCCATGACCAACCCAGGTGACCAGAACCAGGAGGGAGGGCCGCAGGGAGAGGCAGCAGCAGCCAGCACAGAAGGGATTCAAGGAGTAAACTCCAACTCCCTCTCATCTCTCGCTGGCGCCCCCTTTTGGTCAAACCCAAGGGAGCCTGCAGATGCAGATTGCAGGCCAGCCTCCCAAGTCCACAACAGGATGGAGAAGGGTGGACACCCAGCATGGGGGCGGGAGAGGGGACTTGCCAGTAAATGGCAGAGGAGATGACCTCAGGTCTTCTTAGTCCAAAGCCACAGTCTTTTCCGCACCCTGCTCTGCCCCAGTGATACCCGGCCCCTGTCTCAAAGTTGTTTGGCACAACCCAAAGGAAATGCTGGGCCTGGAGGTATAGCCAAGCATGAGGAATGGCTGTCCCTTCCTGTGGCCATTCTAGGAAGAACCAAATACTGGCATCATGTGATGGCAGGTGATACCATGTTGTCTCCCGTGGAGCTTGTTTGCATCGGAACAGGGGCCTTCCGGAAACCAAAGGCTTTCACCTAGCAGGGAAGCCCATGGGAAGATCTTGGGCTCCCTTCCACGGAACCACACTGCAAAGGTCTGCCCTAAGAGTCTGCGCACCACAGAGCTTGCACAGGGGTCAGTAGAGTAGATGCCATACACGCACATGTACACACACAAACACACACTGGCAAAGAGAAAATTGGGGCCCGTGTATGACATCACCCACCACTTCTTTTGGGGCTTACTCCCCACTGATGTAGGATGTGTTAGGGCATCCCAGGGAAACCCAGATTAGAGCCCCGCTTTCCTTGCCACTTCGCAAAAATGAAAGCGAGGCTGACAGATTAAGGTTGTAGGGAAAATCGAGACAATGGGACCTGGAGGGATGTAGAGCTCAGAGCTCTGGAGCACTGAGTGACTGGAGGACACCAGGGAATCTGGGAGGAGGGAGAGGGGGCTGGATAAGGTGGGGCACAACCACACTGTTTAACCCCTACTTTCCAGGTCCCATCCAACTGGTATTTACAGAGCCATTTCTACGGTGGGGCTCTGTCTTTCTCCTTAGAATGGGGGCTTCCCAAGGCCAAGATCATGTTTTTCACGACTAGGCATGTTTGGGGGTGGGGCTTAACTCATCCTCTGTGTGGCCTCCTAAATGCAGCCCAGAGCTCCGATCTTAGGTGGGAGTTTCAGCTCAGCAAGACCTCCCCATCGAGAAATACAAACCCAGGCACACTCACCCTTTCCCAGCCCCCTGCCACCTGCACCCCTGTGGACTGGGAGAAGGAAGGAGAGGAGGAGAAAAAGGCCTTCCCAGTCTAGGCGTTAGACCTGCCCAGGTGTGTGGGGGGGACCAGCTCACCATCTCATTAATGTGGAATTGTTTTTAGGTTAATAATCTTGCGTTAATTTTCCCTTAAAATATTGTCTTTGACCGTTAAATGCTCACACTGTTATAAAAAGAACGTAATAAATGATCTTGAAGCAAATTCTCCTGCCAAATGTCATAATTTATTTGCATAATTAGCTCTTAATTTTAATTCAATATGCAAATCCATGCTTCCTTTCCATTGCAGCCGCCTGTTTCCCAGCCGGGCGGCCATGAATTTACTGTGTAGCTCTCTCCACGGCTGTCAGAGGCGGGGGTGGGGAGGCAGGCGCCTTCTGGGACTGGTGCCTGCGGGAGGGGTTCAGACACACAGACTCAGATGGACAGGCCCATGGGCCCCTGCCACCTAGGTGCAAACGCCCACAGATGGACCTGCGTGGACGCCAGCATACCAACATGTGGATGGACGTGTGTACAGATGCACTGACACATTAACACATATCACAGGCAGAGCCCCAGAGGTGAAGGCATATGAGCCCAGACTCGTAGGCTGACGCATTAAGAAATCCACGGGCGCCCACTGAGACACATTACACAGGTAGAAACACTGCCATGCAAGAACACATGAACACAGACTCCCATGAAGTCCCCTGGCTTCGTGGGCCCAGACGCATGCGCTGACATTCAGAGACTTGGGCGCAACCTGATATATACCTGAAAATGCAAACACCCAGAGACACGGTGCGCCAGCGAGCAGAAGTTCATGGGCACAGACAACGCTCACAATCGAGAGACCCACGGGCCTACACACAGATGTGCAGAGCCATGCTTGGTGAGGCCCACACAGTTGTGAGACCACAAATCTTTATGTGCACACACATAACAAGTCGCACTCTCAGAGACGGAAATTTGACAACCCCACAGAAAAGCCGAGATGTGATGTGGACACCCCTGCACATATAGGATTTGGCCTTCGAGTCTCCATGGCAGGATTTTTGAGACACTGTAGGGCTCGTGGAAAGAGCACCGAGCTTAGGGTCAAGAGACCACATTCTAGTACCAGTGCCACCTCCCAGTTGCTGGGAGACCCTAAGCAAGTCATGTTACTTTTTAAAAATAACAGCTTTATCAAGATATAATTCTCATATCATGCAATTCATCTATCTAAAGTGTTCAAGTCAGTGGTTTTTAGTAGATCTACAGGGTCGTGCAACCATCACCGTAAGCCATTTAAGATTTTTTGGAAAATGTTTCTTTATTTTTGAGACAGAGACAGAGAGAGAGAGAGAGTGGAGGGGCAAAGAGAGAGGGAGACAGGATCTGAAGCAGCAGAGCCCAACGTGGGGCTGAAACCTACAAAACCATGAGATTGTGACCTGAGCCGAAGTGAGATGCTTAATCAAACCAGCACCCCTCACTGTGAGACATTTTAGGACATTTGAACCATCTCCCCCAACCCCATACCCATTGGCAGTCTCTCCTCTTCCCCCAATACTCCCCACCCCCAGATCTAAGCAACTCTTAATCTATTTTCTTTTTCTGTATATTTGCTGACTCTGGACGCGTTGTGTAAAGGAACTAAAAGAATGCATGGTGTTTGGTTTTTTTGGTGATTGGCTTCTTTTACTTAACATAGAGTCTTCAATATTCACCCATGTTGTAACATGAATCAGTACTTCATTACTTTTCATGACCAAATAATATCCCATTGTATGGATATACTACATTTTATTTATGTATTCACCAGTTGATGGACATTTGGGTTCTTTCCACTTTTGGGCCATTATGAAAAATACTGCTCCAACCATTGTTGTACAAGTTTTTGTGTAGGCCCACATTTTCATTTCTCTTGAGGAGAACTTCATCTTCCCAGAGTTTGGCTCTCCCACCTATAAAATGAGAGGGAATTCATTCCATTAGAATCGCAAGGCTGTCCAGGTGTACTTGTTTATGATTAATATGGAGTTCTCCAGCTGAGACTATGGTTCTCCTCATGTAACCAGACCCACACACACTCACACACACAATTACCAACACAGCCATCAGACACATAACATAGCCACAAAGGCACAGGTGCACCCAAGGCAGCCTAGACCCCCTCAGGGACTTGGTCCTGAGTTTGGGGCCTAGAGAAAAAAACAGAAATGCAGTCAGAGAGATTGTGATAGCCACAGGGAACATTGTCCTGACTCAAGGAGGGTCCTTTCATGGTGAAGGGGGTAAAGTATGGCACTGGGGAGGAAGGGGTTTAGCCAACATGATGGGCGAAAAGGCAGGGTGAAAGGGTGAGGTTAGCGATGGGTGACTGAGTGAGGATCCACTCTGAAGACCAGGACACTTGGGTGCCACTTCCCCAGCTGTTTCTGCCTTCTCCTCTCCCCACCCATGTTACCCTTTGTCTCCTTGTTCCTTCTCCCAGAGGTAACATGACTCTTCCCCCCTCCCCAACAAGCTAAGGAGACAAAGGGGATCCTTTTCCAGCATAATTAAGCTTCAAAGTCAGCAGCTCCTCCCAGGAAACTGATCAGGTTTGCCCTGAGAGAGCCCTTTAGTGCGGGAGGGATGGTGAAGGGAGGGGAGACAGGGACAGACAGACAAGACCAGGAGACAGGAAAGTGAACTCAGACACCACTGAGCTGACACTGATTCTTCTGACCTTGCACTGTCTGTCAGGAAAGTTTGATCTTTAATTCTCCTTCTTAGGAGAGGGATTTATGGAGTTGTGACCCAATTAGCTACAGACCCCAAAACACTGTCTCCCCACAATCACAGAAGTCCTGGGTATGGATGAGTGAAAATGTCTGAGGGTGCGTGTATCCATGTGTAGATGCCCACCGATATTATGGACGTGTGTTTATGGAGCTGTTGTGTATCAGTATGTAAGTGTGTGAGTGCCTGTCTGTCCCCAACCCTCTCGGCCCCCACCCCCACCCATGCCCCCTGCAGAAGGCTCACTGTGCGGCCTCAGCGGAGTTTCTAACCTGGAGTGATCGCTTTCCTGATTTGCCACTTTAGTACTCTTGTTAATGAATTTTTAATCTTCTTAATGACATTAAACACGGAAAGTAATTAAGGAAAACAAGTTTGAAACTGCTGACTTCAACCCTTTATTCACAACTATTTAATGTAGAATTAATTTGATTTTGCCCATTATTCAAATGAACGCGCTACCTTCTCCTCGGCCCCAGGCCTGTCCCCTTGCCCCCTCCCCACATGCCCAGGGACCCCCTCTCTCGCCGCCACCCAGTTATCACTGACCCTAGGGGGTGATGGTTTCCGTGTGACATGTCTGTGCTTGGGGCCTGGGTGTGAGGCCTGAGCCCAACTCCTGGAGGGTAAGGATCAAAGAACCGGCTTCTCTGGGTTGGGAGACAGCACAAGGAAGGTGGGGGTGGGGCTGAAGATCTGAGGCTGGAATGATGCAGACTCTTCCATCTCGGATTTCCCACCTAGACGCTCATCATCAGCCCTAGGTCCCACCTATGCACTCAAATGCTTGGTTGTTGGGGACATTCAGATCACAGGGATTTGGTATTAGACTATTTAAATCTATAGACCTCAAGATAGGTATCTGGAGGCTCAAATGCTGAGGTCCCATGAAGTCCAATTTCAGACCATTTTTCAAAATTTCACTTTTATAATTTCAGAGAAAGAAGCTTCTCTCCCTAAACCCTGAGCCTTGGGCCACTATCTGGGTAAGGCTAAAATGGGCAGGTCATAGCTGTTTGAAACTGGTCCTGGGTGGAGAAACCAGGCCCCAAGCAGTCAGCCAGTCCAAGCCTAAGTGGGTTTTGGCCTCCACCTTCTGGAAGGGGTCTTTTCTTTCTTTCTTTTATTTTTTTAAAATGTTTATTTTTTGAGAAGTGGGGGGAGGGGCAGAGAAGGAGGGAGACACAGAATCCAAAGCAGGCTCCAGGTTCCAAGCTGTCAGCACAGAGCCCGATGCGGCGCTTGAACTCACGAACTGTGAGATCATGACCTGAGCCGAAGTCAGCCAACTGAGCCACCCAGGCGCCCCCTGGAAGGGATCTTTAAGGGGACTCTGACCCTTGAATGAAAGGAAAGACAGGGTCCATATGAGCCCTGGGCGCACTCAGGTCCTGGGCCTCAATGTCCTCACAGCTGGGGGTAGCTGGGCTAAGGCTATAGTAGGTCACCCCCAGCCTCCTGACTCCTGCCCCCAAAAGGCCACCTCCTTTACCCTTGGGTTCCCAGATATTGTTTTGTGTGTGTGTCATACCTGTATAGTGGTGAGAAAGGAAGGTTTGGGGTGGACACGACCCTAGGAGGCAGCTGAGGGAGGGGGAAATCTCAGCATGTGCCCTCAGGCAGATATGCCATAAATCCTGGCTCTGGACCTCCTCTGGACTTTGGATAAGCTCTGACCTCTCCTCTCCTCCTCTCTGAAGTGGGGAGACCGACTCTTACCTCAAGTTGTTACAAAGATTAAGTGAGATGTCATGGTGACCTTACCATTAGCTCCTGGCAGTTCCAAAAACATGCCAGAGAAGGAAAACTGAGGGGTTCAGGGGCTAGGGACCAAAAGAGGGTCTTAGGAAGCCATGGATTTGCCCAGATATACTGAGGGTAGAGAGGGGAGCTAGCATCTGGGAGCTTCCTCCCTTTTATCCCTTCAACAACACTGGAATTTTTCCTTGGCTTCATTCCCCTGAGTTATATCACCAAGAGGGGTTTTCTCTCTTCCCCCCTCTCCCTTACCCCTTCCTCTTGCCTCTTCTCTCCAAACAAGCCTCCCCCAAGCCACTCCACTCATCTCAGCTCCTGGGAGCAACCAATCCCCCCCCCCCCCCCCCCCCCCCCCGCCCCCCATCACTGCACTGAGCCATGACTGGGCCTGAGCTGAGGCGGGAGTCTCGCGCCCCTTCCTCCCATTCCAGGGACTTTATGGGCTGAGACGCTGCCGGCTTGCTCACTTCTCCCTCTCTCCTGCGTCTCTCTCCATCATTCTCCATGTTTCTTTCCCCCTCTTTCTTTCCTCCCTTGCCGTGGCCGGCCTTTCTCTCATCTGTCTGTCTCTCCCTATCTCTGTGTGTTTCCACCTCTCTCAGTTCTCTTTCTTCAGAGACCAGGGATTCTAGAACATTTCCAGCTACAACTGTCCAGGGCACACTCTCAAGAAGGGAAAGCTGACAGGGGGTACTGGGAGGACCCCACCTCAAGTGTGCCCCACTTCCCCTTCTTGCTGACATCCTAAGAAGGACCAGGAGGAAGAGGACCCGATCAATGTAGCACACTCACACCACCCTCCCACACCTCCTCCCCACCCCAACCCTCTCACACTCAAAACCCTCTCACAAAGACCCACACTCTCTCTCACACCCACATGACAAACTTGCACCTCACTCACACACAGACACAAGTGTGAGCAGGCACAGATACACACGGACGCAGATGCACACTCGCACACAGAGCCCCCCCCCCCCCCAGATGCCTATGCGCACACACATACACACGCAGAGATCCCACAGGCGCCCAAAAGCACAGGGCAATGATTAATGTCCCCTCAGAAAAAGAAATTATATCGAATAAATTAAACTACTGTGGCAGCAAATTGAAAAATAAGGATGTAAATGAGGTTTGAATACTTAATATCGAAGACAAGGGGGGGGGACAAAAAGGGATCGCTGGGTCCCCTGAGAGGGGAGAGGATGTTCCCTCCTGCTCCCCGGTTCAAACCTGGCTCCTGTCCAGAGACCTCAGAGCTGGGGGCTGGGGTAGTATGGGGCTTCAGTCAGCACTGGGGACCCTCTCTTTGGTGGCCATGGCAGAGAGTCCCAGAGCCCCTAGAAAGACTCAGAGAGGGAGGATGAGGAAGAGGTGATGCAACCACCTGGTAGCATGTCATATCTCACCCCTGACAGACCCCAACACACAAGTGGGTACTTGCTTCCAGACCCAACACATGCTCCTTTGAAGGTCCACCCTGGCTTACTTGAGCTCACGACTCATCTCCCCCCAGATCCCCACACACCTCAAGACACCCAAACACATTTGATCACATATGCTTGCTCAGCCCTCAACTCAACGTCAAAGCTGCACGCATTCTCCGAACTCGCCTGCCTCATCGCCACCCCCAATATGTCCGAAACCCGCTTCGCACCCTGACTACACCACAGGCATTCTTCCCCCCCAAAAGCCCAGTGCCCACTGGGCACAGTCCTACCCACACCAAACACCCCAAACACACATCTGCACATACATGGGTTCACACACACAAACATAAACTCTTTCCTTGGAGCACATCGTGACATACTCCTGTCTCACACACACACACACACACACACACACACACCTCTCTCTCTCTCTCTCTCTCTCTCTCTCTCTCTCACACACACACACACACACACACACACACACACGGATGGTAATACCATCCCTGAGCCCCAACCCCTCAGAAATTGTGGGAAGGAGAGAGGCAGGGTTGGAAGAGCCTTCTCTTTCTCCCTAGGCTTTAAGGGAGTCCTCCGTGTACACACACACACACACACACACACCCTGGAGCACTTCCAGCCAGCCTCCATCTTTCCATTTCTCTCTGTCTCCCTCTCTGGCGCTGTCTCAGTTTCCCTCACTTTGCCTGTCAAGTGCTTTTTCCCCGTCGCCTTTGTCTCGGACATCCCAATATGTCCTGCCCCCCTCCTCCCCGTCGGTCGCCAGGCCCTGAGCCGCCACCCGCACCCCCACCCTGCGGCACCCCCGCCCCTCCCCCTCCTCCGCGGCTCTCGCTGTCGTCTCTGTTCATATATATTTAGTATTTATTTACAAGGCTGGGTTTTTTCCCTGGGCGGGAAGCCAGCCGTGCACAGAAATCCTTAAGATGCTATAAAGCTGGTGAGGTATAAAATGGAAAGTGGTTAGTGCGCTGTTTGGAGATATCTCACCGGCGGCCGGGGGCCCGCGCCGCCCAGCCGCCCGCTGTAAATCTCCCGGAGTTTAGCGCGCTTGTTTGTATCAGGCCGCGAGGGGAGGGACCGGTCGCCAGGGCGGGGGGCCGGCGGGAGGGGGCGCACCCCAGCGCCGGGGACCCCTCGGGAGAGGGCGCTCCCTCTTGCAATGGAGGTGGGTGAAGGGGGGCTGGGAAGCCGCCTTTTGGGAAACAGAGGCTCCTCGGCTGTGCCTCTTCTGAACTGCGCCTAATCTCCCAGGGGGACGGAGAGAAAACCTGGGGCCCAGAGCTCCCCCCACCCCGCCCCAACCCCCGCGCGCGCGGGACGGAGACCCCACAATACCCCCCACCACTTGTGAGCCTCCTCCCCAGGAGCTTCACTTCCCCGCCCCTTCGCCGAGGGCCTGTGGTCTGTGGTCTGGGGAAGGAGCAGATGACACCCCCCCCCCGCCCCCTGCCAGGAAGAGTTTGGGGCAGGGGACCAAGGTTCCTCCCTGCAGAGCTAGGGCCTCTCACACTTTATTTCACTCCCCTGAGCAGCAGTTGCCTCTCCCTTGCAGGGTCCTGATAGCTCCTACCCCAAGGGCTGAAGGGAAGATGAAATGAGTCAATGCAGCTGAAGGATTTAGCACCGTGCCTCGTACATAGTAGATGCTCAGTGAATGCCGACTGTGTGATTTGTGCCAATCTGCCCAGCACTTTGTTCATCCGTGTGTTTAGCTAGTTGCTCATTTACTCATTTATTTTGTCAACTATTCACAGCACCCATCCACCCATACATTCAGCAGCTTCAAGCTGTGTGGTTCTGGCCTCTGTGGTGGAGAATTCTGCAGAAGGCAACAGACCTCCCAGGGAACCTCCAGTTGGGATGGGGCACTAAGATCTACACCAAGAGGGTAAAAGAGCCACTTCTGGATTAAGTAGCATTTCAGGGCAGCTTGGAGGAAAGGGCTCACCCCACCCATCATGACATCCCTGTCCGCAGTCCCTGGTGGAGCCCTTTGACTTCCTGTGGCCTGAAAGTCCCAGGAGGAGTGAAGGAGCAACTAGACTGTGAACCTCCAGAGGGCAGGCCTCATCCCCCACCCGTCCAGCCCCCAACCCCAGCAGAGCCTGGAGCCAGCTCTCAAGAGCTGTCAGTAAGTGCCCTTTGATTGATGAGTTGGGAAGGCTGAACTCTGCCACACTCCTCTCTCTCTTTAGAGCGGTGACACACCTGTCATATAACCTGCACACGCATGTCCCAGCTCACCTGGACACGTCAGGAGGGCCAGGAGTAATGACAGGGAAATTTTAGGTGGTCACTGCCCAGAAATGGAGGCTCAGAAGAGCCAAGTCTGTGTCACACAGTCATGTCCAAGCCAGTCTTTCTGTATTGGTTCATTCATTCCATCATTCATTCACTCATTCATTTATTTATTCAACAGGCGTTTACTGAGCCTCCTGGGCCAGGGGCTGAGGACGATTCAAATGAACGTTACTTAGGCCTGGCTCTCAAGAGGTTTATAGTCCAGGACAGCTGTAGGGCAAACATTCTAGTAATGACTATTGGGAAAATAAGAGCCAAGAAAGCTGTAGAGGACTAGAAATTTCACAGGGAAGAGAAACCACTGCTGGTGGTGGTGGTGAACAACAACAACAACAACAACAACAAAACCAGCAGGCACCTTGCTAAGCAATTTATAGGGAGTATTCAGAAGATGGCTTTACTTGAATCAGGTCTTGCAGAAAATTAGGATATTGATGGGCAGAGATAAGCTGGGTGTTGGGCAGTGATACCATCCCAGAAGGACAGCATCGCAGGCAGAAGAGGAGAATGGACCAGCCCACAGAGGTGGGAAGTTGCTGGGTGGGGAGTGTGCAAGGGAACCACTCAGAGTCCAATTTGGCTGGCAAGTATGAGCATGAAGGAGAGTAATGGGAAGTCTTGGAGAGAGGGGGAGGAAGGGGCCAGGTCACAAAGGGCCATGAATATAGGAGTCAGGAGTTTGTACTTTATTTAGTATGCAGTGGGGAACCATTGAAGGTTTTTGAGCAGGAGAGTGGCACGATCAGAGCTGTGCTTTAGGAAAATGAATCTGGCAGCAGTGTGTAGAACAATCGGGGACATGGAACTCAGAGGCAGAGAGCCCCGCTGGGAGAAAGAAGCCACACTTGGAGACTTGGTGCATGGCTTGCACTCAACAGGGTTTGTCGGTTGAAGTGAAGAGGCTTGGGAGAGCTGTGATAAGGGCCTTCCTGGAGACAGTGGTGATGGCGAGGCAAAGATGGGTACCAAAGAAATAAGGAAGCATCTCTGAATTTGTACCCTAATTGAAAGTAGAGATGAGGACAGCAGAGGACTAGGGGCTCCAAGGCTTCTGTGAGGGTAAGTGGGTGGGCAACAGGGCTACCAACAAAGTGGGAGTCACATGCTGTTGCTGGCTTTAGGAGAGGCATGCAGGCTGCTTTTTGAGTATGAGCCTTGCGCTGCCTGGGTTGTGGGCTCGGATCTCAAGAGAAGCTTGGGGGTTAGAGATCAGTGCTCCCATTACCTGCTCGGGGGTGACAGCTGCAAGTTCCCAAGTGACTGAGATCTCCTGAGAGACTGGAGAGAACAGTGGAGAGCTTTGCACTGTGGCTACATTTGGGAGAGACTGTAGGGGAAGAAAGAGACAGAGAAGGAGGGTTAGAGACACGGGGGGAGAATGCAGTGGACAAGGCAGCCAGGAGATGGGTAGTTCTCCTCGAGTGACTGGTATTCCAAGGCTTCCCAGGGGATGGGGCCTGAGAATCAGAAGTGGGGCCTGGTGGTCAAGAGGTTGGACGGGAGGCCGGGAGCAACCTTGTCGGGGGAGAAGTGAGGCTGGAGGGTGCTCCTGGGAGCAAGGGCTACTCCGGGGCACAGCATGCAGGGTAGTCTATCACCTGCCCACTGCTCACACCAAGCCCCCAGATTTGAGGTTTCACCAGAGGCCCTCTTGTCCCTCTCCTGGATGGGGCAAAGGTGGGAGTCAATGGGCAGGAAAGTGGGAGCCACTGGGACCGAATGCCCCCTGACTTGGGATTCCTGAGACCCTTAGATCTCAGCATACTCAGGGGTTTCTAAGGTTCATGCTGTTTACTTGGCTACAAACCACACAGCCATGCTCTTCTTTTTGATGTAGGTAACACCCTCGTCGGGTCATCCCCTGGACAGGGTTGACCACCTTCTTCCTTGGCACTAGAGCGCACTCTGTTCCACAGCTGGCTACCTCTATCTTGGGCCATACCCCAGCACCTGGGCCAGCGATGCCCAGGTCCCCCCAGCATCCCCGGAACCGTGGGGTTTAGGAAGTAGAGGGGACAGGACCCAGAACCTCAATCCCATTTAGGAGGAGCAAAGCATGGGAGGTGGTGTGGGCCCCCACCCTCCCGGAGGGGACCCGCAGTCCTAAATGCCCCCGCGCCTTCTCCATATTGTGGGAAAAGCTGCTGCATCCATCACTGTCAGGCGCCGAGTTTGAATAAATTTGAATGCACTGAGCCGTGGGCTGCAGTTTCTATAATATCACTTTCCAGTTTGAATATTTCACTTACTTTTTTTTTTTGAATTTCTTTTTATCCAACAGTTTCTCCTCCTTTTCATCTCCCCCCACTGCAGCCGAGCTCTGGATGTAGAGAGAGGACAGTGCCTTGAGGGTGTCTGAGATGGGAAGAGACTAGGCCTTTAGTAGCTTTGGCATCTCTGTCCTCCCACCCACCACCCTCACCCTACACATGTGCTCCCTGGGCCAGGATCTTCATCTCCCCACTATTTGTATAGATGGAGAAACAGTAGTTGGAGCATGAGCCACCCTTGAACTCCCACCCTTCTCTATGGGCAGACCAAGTGTGCCAGCGTTCTGCTTCTTCCCTACAGGGACCTTAACCCCTCACCTACTGACCCTCCATCACATGCGGGGGTGTGTGTGTGCGCGCGTGTGCATGTGTGCGCGCACGCGTGCACGCGCGCGCGCGCACACACACACACACACACACTCCCTCAGATATATTAACTTGTACCTAAACGCTAATGGCAGCTTGCAATTTCCCACTAGGAAGCTTGCTCCTAAGTCCCTCCGGCCAATGTCCTGCCTTCCCCTATAAATGAGGACCCCTGGCTATCCTTCTCCATCTCCCTGTATCTCTTCACTCTCCATCCATCAGTGTGGTGTCAGTACAGCCATGCCTCCGGATAGGGGCTGCTGGGAGGGAGAAAGGAATAGAGTCCTGGCAATGCATTCCAGAGAACTGTCTCCCAACAAGCCCCATGATTTTCTGGACTATGGTTAGTGCCATCCCCACTCCTTGCCCACAGCTCAGGGACCAGGAAGAACTGAGGTGCAAGAAGGGAAAGAGACCATCCTCAAATAAAATGAGCCAGGATTGCATTCAAGCTTGGGTCCAGATAGGGATGGGGAAGTGAGCAGATTGAGAAGGGTATTCTGGGGACCCTCTGAGTCTGTATTTTTCTATGGCAGCATCTGGTCACACTGCCCCTTGGACCATACATAAGGTACCCTGGCTACATAATCTCGAGAGGGCAGTGACCATCCAGGAGGCCCAGTGATACTGACATCAATGAGGACATTCTGCTTTATGGGGCACACTAAGTGGCTAGAGGGCCACTGAGTGCCCCAACCATCTAAAAAGGACCCACATTGGCCATCTCCCATGGAAACATTATTCATAGAGCACATGCTCCTCTTTCCTGCCAGAAATGGCACTTCCTTTGGCTACTAATAGTCCCCCAACTATGCCTACATCTGTCACATAGTAGGTATGTATTGGGGGTTATGTATGAGGGGAAGCAGGAAGCAGAAAGCTTCCGTGAATCTCTGACTTCTGGAGGCAATGCACAGCTCCCCACTCTGTGCCTGGTCCTGTGTGCTTATAGTTAGTGGAAAAGGCAGGATACAGAGAAGAAATGGTCAGACTTTGGGAGCACAAGAGGTGATTGGGGAGGTGAAATTATCATTCAGAGTAATATTTATTTCTACTTTACATTTTGCTATGCTCAAAAAGGGTTTGAGCAGATTTAGGACACACACACACACACCAAAACAGTTTAGAAAAAGAGAGAGGCAACTGGAAATCATCTGAAGGCAGGAGAAAGATAAATGGAGCAGGGTCTTGTGGGAGGAGTGTCGGCAGTCAGCGCGGCCATTGCCAGGTGGGGGCCTGTGTTGTAATTGTCCACCTCTCGAGGAGCTCACCTTGTGGGTTCAGGTAGTCAGGGAAGGCTTTCTGGAGGAGGTGGAACCAGTCCAGGGACTCGACAGATGGCAGAACAAGCCGGATTGGTGGTCCAGCGGCAGGACTGGAGGGAGGAAAGTCGGAGACCAGGAGCTGAACGTGTGGCAAGTGTTGGTCAGGGAGGGGTTGGCAATGGGAGCAGTGAGTTTGAGGGACAGTGAGCAGGTGGCAGAGATACATACAATATGTCCAGGGGACAGTAAAGAGAGGAGAGTCGCTGTGAGCCGTTGATAGGAGGTGGGGTGGCCAGTGTACTGAGAGCATTTAGGAGGTGCCCCAGACTAGCTTGGCCTCACCTCAATATTTCCTAATTCTAATACAGGCCTCTCAGGCCCCTCTTCCTGCAGCCCCTCTCTCCACCCCCATGAGCTGAAACTCAGCACCCAGCAAAGACAGCCCTCACCAATGGAGGGTTGGCTATACCAAACAGCGCCCCCTCCCCAGAAGGAGGCACAGATCCCTACGAGGGTGGAAGCCTGAGCCTCCCCTCCCCCAGTGTGCCTGGGCTGGCCCCGTGGCGGGAGGGGTGCGGTGTGAAGGGAGAGGCTCTCCTGCCGCACCATGACAGATGATTGACTCGAAACAATATCTAAGGCGATCAGGATAAAGTGCTGGCCATTTCAAGGCTCAGCAGAATTCAGATTCTAATTAGACTTCTCACCACATTCCAAATAAAAATGGTTCCCCTGGTATCCTCTTTGCCTATCAGGTGTCTCTCCCTGATCGCTGGAACAAAACGCATAAAGAAAGTGATTAAAGCCATAACAAAGGCATAAAATTGGAATTATCGCTGCCACCACATCTGGGAGCATGGAGTGTCACCACACCGCCCCCTCCTCCCCAAACCTGCACACACACAGAGATGCTGTCCCACTCCGGCTCCTGGCTGGGCACCCTGCAATGATAGCCATCAGATAGGTGAGGAGCTGGGGGGAGGAGTGTTCAGGGGAAGGGGTGGAACTGGGAGGCAAGGGGGGGGGGTGTCCAAGGAGCCAGAGACTGGAGATTAGGAGGGAGTAAAGTGGGCAAATGAAGGGCTCCAGGCCTGGGGAGCAAGGAGTGAGTGGTCCAAGGAGTGAGGGATGGGCAGACAATGGTCACTGTTTCAAGTGTCTAAATATTTGCCAGTAGAGAGGGCCCTTGGGGCTTTTGCCTTGATGACCTCACCACCCCCAGGACATATACGCTCATGTGCACACATTGTAATCAGGGCTCACAATGCGCTATCAATTGTTTCATGCCTTGCACGTGTTGTCCATCTCTGTTGGGAGATACCTCAAGTCCCCCAGCTGACCCACTGCCCAAGCCACTGGACCCAGTGCTGGTTTCCAGTTCTCTTTCCCCACCTGCGTCCAACAGAGGGCACCCACCTATAGAGACTACTAAGTCCCCATTGGTCCCTAGCATGTGTGTGCACAGCCAGCATGCAATCCAGAGACCCCAGTCCCCTGCACTGCACATTTGCACACATGCACACACGCACACGTGTACCATGCCTATAACAATACCCTCACACAGTACACCACATTCTGGGAATTTAGCAAAGGCCCCCATCTCTTTGGGGCCCTGGCCTCTCTAGCTCTTCTGCCTCCCCTCCTGCAGCCCCTGTCTGCCCCTCACAGCTAGCCTGGTACCTGGTATGGGGCAGCCTTGTTCCCTGCGTGGGGTGGGTAGGCAGGCGGGAGGTCCAGAGGAGGGTGAGGGAGTGGGAGCGGGGCTCTGAGCGGGGACGATATAAAATTAAAAGGTAAAAAGCAGGAACGCAAATGGAGGGTGCTTTCAGCTTTCACATTATTAATGACTCTTCAAAAAATCGGCGAGTTTTCCAATCTTCTCTGAGAAGCGCTTGAAGGAGCTCACAGATGAAACTGACCTTCAAAATGTTCTTTGGTCTTTAGTTAAGAAATTCGCTCGCCATTATGGCATCATTAGGGAAACAAGGATAAAATTACTCCATGGTTAATGACCTATAGTATCTCCCCACCAAAATTTGTTTCAGATCTAATAAAACTGTGCTTAACACACTCGGATGAGTTATGAGGACTGTTCTGCAGGGTATTAAAATGTGGAAAATAGATTTTCCGAAGCTGGGGGGACTGGACTTTTTGAATCAGATAGCAGAATGGAATTTTCTGGGCAATAAATTCTTCCATGTCTCAATTTCATCTCGCGCTCTCTCTCTCCTGCCTGCCTCTGCCCCTCTCTCTCTCTCCCTCACTCTCTCTCTCCCCCACTCTCTCTCTGTCTCCCTCTCTCTGTCTTTCATCTTTTCCTAAAATACTGAAGCAACACAGAAACCTTTCCAATTTGAAGCCTACATAAACTTTGAAAAAAGCAGAGTGACAAAGGCCGTCTGTGTGTGGTCGTGGGAGCCTGCGTATGCATGCACACGTATGTTTGTGGCTCCTGCCTGCCTCACAAGAGTGGAAGCAACTCCCTCCATCACTTCACCCAGTGCCTCTCTACACACCCAAGGTGGGACTGACACCCCCCATTTCTCTATTGCCGGCCAAGCTGCCAGATCTTGCCCTCTGCACCGAAATCACAGGGCACGCCCAAGCTAATAACACTTCCTAGTATCTCCCCCATCCACTCCCGCCCAGGGCCACCATACACACCAATGCCAGGAGTCAGCCTATGAGAACACACCTGCCCTGTCCACCCCAAACTTCTCGGGGATGGGAGGGGGGCTGCACTGGCCTTGCAGAGCTGCCCTGTTTTGCACACGTGCGTGCACATTAGCACATGCTAGCCTTCTTGGTGAGGCACACCCAGATGCCCCAGCCAGCCAGGCTGGAGGCTGAGACCCGAGCCCCGGCCCAAGCACTGGCCGAAGGTTTTCGGGGGCTGGAGACTGCCGCGGAGAGAGGTGGCTGGCGAGGTAATGGCATTTTGCTCTCTTTAAACTTTAATCTTTCCTATTAATTCCCTGCAACTGGAGAATGTGTGAGAGTTAATGTTCCGTGAACGTGTTTCGCACTCGGCAGTCTCTTCGAGCTAATTACCTTCAGGTGCTAAATGGAGGGAAATTGCAATCCATTTGGATGTGAAAAAATTTCGCCTTCCCGTCCCCTGTGAGACATCCTTTTTCCTGAGTGCTGCAGAAAGAATGCTCTCTGGGTGGGAGTTTTTTTCCTAATGTTTTTTTTCTTCGGCCCCTTCCCCCGCCCCCTTTCTCCAAGAGTCTGGGTTTTGCAGGACGGTGGTGGTTGGAGACTGGAGGAGACCTGGGCCTTGGCACAAGGTCCAAGTCTGGGGTGGAGGCCAGGTGGGGAGGGACTTACAAGCAGGGGAGATGCCCAGCCTGAGAATCCAGCCCTTGCCCCTTAGAGGCCTTGGAGTGGAAGTGTATTTACACGCTTAATAACACGCTTATTACCAGTGTTTCTCAGCTGCTAGGTTTTGAATACAGATATAATAGAATTTTACAAGCCACATAAAAGCTGTCCTTCTCCTGGACCCTGAACTGGGGTGTCTGGCAGGGCGGAGGACAGGGAATGGCAAATGGAGATGAGGAAGGGGCTTGAGGAAGGAGAGAATGGAAATGGATCAGAGAACTGGACAGAGAAGAGAGGAGAATGGTGTGGGAGGGAGATGGGCAGGGGGGTTGAGGGGGAGATGGGTAGGAGCTCTGTCTCCATCCCAGAGAACTGGCACCAAGGAGAAAGGCATGAAGGCCAGGAAGGTCAGCTCCCGAAGCCTCTTAGGTCTTGGCACAGCACACTCACCTTAGTGACACGCCCATCCCTCCAGCCCCATCCTTGACCTCTGATCTCAGACCTCAACCTCATCCAAGCCTCACAAAAAGAGACATCTAATTTTACCTCCTCCCTCTGCCTTGGATCCAACCTACTAGTCTTTACAAATCCCATTTCTTAACCTAGGTTGGGGAAGGGAGCTGTCCAGGTGTAATATGTTGCTTCCACCCAACAGGGAACAGTCTGGTTTAAGACACACAAGACAGAGCCCCTCACCCCTTAAGTAAATAGCACTCCATTTGAAAGAGGGTTTGGCCCCCCATGATGGCCTGGGGTTTTACCCTCCACTTGGAATTCTTTCTCTGGTCTCAACCTGTGTACTACTTGTGAGGGAACAACCATTCTAACACTGAAGAGCCTTCTTTGGGAGAATATACTGGGAAAATATTGGAGTGGCTTGGGTTTACTTATTTGTTAAAAGTTTATTCTGAAGGGTTTCAAATATAAATATACATAGATACATAGATAGGTAGATAGATAGATTTAAATGTTTATTCATTTATTTAGAGAGAAAGCATGGTGCACGGGCAGGGGAGGGGCAGAGAGAGAGAGAGAGAGAGAGAGAGAGAGAGAGAGAATCCCTCTGCTATCAGCGCAGAGCCTGATGTAGAGTTCAAACTCAGGAACCATGAGATCATGACCTGAGGCAAAATCAAGAGTGAGATGCTCACCCAGTTGAGCCACCCAGACGTCCCTTAAAAGATCTTTCTACCTATCAACTAGTTTCAATAATTATCAACATAGGGCCAATCTTATTTCTTCTACCTGCCAGGACTATTTGGACACAGACATCAAATCACCTCACCTGTCGATGATTTAACATGCATTTCTAAAAGTTAAGGACACTTTTAGCATTACCTCAATAGCATTATCTCACTTAAATAAAAATTAACTATAATTCCTTACTCTCATCAAATATCTATTCAGTTCTATACGCTACACTTTCTTTTTAAACTTTTGAAAATTTCTTTTAAAAAAATTATTAATGTTTATTTTGTTTTTGAAAGAGGTGGGGGAGGGGCAGAGAGAGAGGACAGACAGAATCCCAAGCAGCCTCTGCACTATCAGCACAGAGTCTGTCACGGGTGAGATCATGACCTAAGCAGAGATCAAGAGCTTGATACTCAACCATCTGAGCCACGCAGGCACTCCTAGGCTATACTTTCTTTCCTCTTCTTGCAACTTATTTATTGAAGAAACTGTGGGCCATTTGTCCTATGGAATTTCCTTCATTCTGGATTTTGCTGATAGCACCCCTGTGGTATCATTTAACATGTTTCTCTGTCCCTTTAAAATGGTAGATTCCAGAGTTGCTTGGCTTCAGATTTGATTTTTTGGCTAGAATATTTTACAGTTGGTGTGAACTTCCTATTGCATCACGTCAGGACCACATAATTCCTCGTCGTTTTTCTTTTTAAATATCAAGATTAATCAGTGGGCTCAGTTGCTGTCAGCTGGATCTATCCATTATAAAGTTCACGTTCAGCTTTTTTCCCTCCATCAGCTTTTCACTTAATGGTTTTAACAGCCATTTACTATCATTGACTAGATCCATTCTTTCATTAGGTGTTGTTGTATTTGTTTTGAAACTGCTTCTATTCTTCCAGCTTTTTATTTTGACAAATTTAAAACTGTACAGCAAAGTTCACTGTTGCAATGAATGCTCATACACTCTGATACAGATGAACAATTTGTAACTATTTCCACATTTGGTTTAACTCTCCCTTTCTTGTTCTAAAACACTTGTGTGTTAGTTGCTGACATAAATGACACTTCATCCCTAAATACTTCAGATATCTTTTAAGAACAAGGACATTCGTCTGTACTGCACAGTGTAATGATCACTTTCAGGAAATTTAACATTTGCCTGATAGATGAGTTCATATTCAAAACCCTTCTATTCTCCCAGTAATGTTCTTTATAACTGCCCCTCCCTCATCCCAATGTAAGATCTTTCATTGTATTTGTCTTTTTAATCTCCTTTATTCTGGAATAGTTCTCCAAGGTTTTTGTTTTTGTTTTTTGTCTTTTATGAGTTTTGAAAAGTCCAGGCAGCAGATTGTCCCTCAATTTGGATTTATCTAATGGTTTCCTCGTGGTTAAATTCAGGCTAAACATTTTGGGCAGGAATACCATGTAGGTGATGTTTCCTTCTCAGTGCATCATATCAACAGGCATATGATATCAGTTTCTCTCATTATTTGTGATGATACGTTTGATCATTTTTAAGGTAGCATCATTCAAGATTCTCCATTGTAAAGGTGTCCTTTGCCCTCTCTGAGTAATACATTATGATGTGGGTAGGGGCAGGATTTGAGACTGTGAATATCCTGTCCTCTAAATATTTTTGACCCAGGGATTTTAGCATCCATTGATTATCTTGCTCGAATCAATTAATTATACCTATAGTAGTTATAAGATGGTGAATTTTCTTTTAAAAAATTTTTTAAAATAATTTTTTAAAGTTTATTTATTGAGAGAGAGACAGAGACAGAGACAGAGACAGAGACAGAGACAGAGAGAGCGCAAGCAGGCTCTACACTGTCTATGCAGAGCCCTACGAGGGGACTGAACCCATGAACCGCGAGATCATGACCTGAGCCAAAGTTAAGAGTCAGATGCTTAACTGACTAAGCCACCCAGGTGCCCCTGGGTTCTAAGTTGACAGTTATTTTCCTTCAGAATTTTGAGGCTATAATTATTTATCTTCTGGTTTCCATTGCTCCTAATGAGAAGCCTGTTGCCTGATTGTCATTATGTTGCTAGCTTGTAAGATTTTTCTCTTAGATGTTCTGCAGAGTCACTAACGGTTTTAGGTGTAAATCTCTTTTTATTTATTCTGCTTGGGAATCCAGTTGTGTTCCTTCTTACTGAGAACTTTTTTTTTTTTTTTTTTTTTTTGCATTCAATACCAGTCAATTTGCCACCATTGAATCTTTATATTTCTTCTCTCTCTTTTCTCTCTGTTCTCTTCTTCTGGAATTTCTAATATCTCTATTGTACCTTCTCATTTTATTTCTCATGTCTTAACTTCTTCATATTTTCCATGACCGTAACTCTGTGAGAGGCATTTTAGGTACTTTCCAATTCGCTTTCCAATTTACTAATTCCTTCTTCAGCAGTGTTATCAACTGCTTAACCACTCCATTGAGTTGTTTTTATTTCAATATTTTATTTCTAGAAATTATTTTTTAATGTTTATTTATTTTGAGAGAGAGAGAGTGCAAGCAGGGGAGGAGCAGAGAGAGGGAGGAGAGAGAATCCAAAGCAGGCTCTGTGCTGTGAGAATGGAGCCCTATGTGGGGCTCAATCTAATGACCATGAAATCATGACCAAAGCCAAAACCAAGAGTTGGAGGCTTAACTGACTGAAGCACCAAGGCACCCCTGCTATGAGCATTTAAAGTATACAGCCAGTCTGTTCAGCTTTTGCCATTGTTCATCTGAATTTTGTTATTCGTGGATAACATATTCTTCAATCACCTTCAAGGATAAGTCATCATCTATAAGACCTATGTTGCTCAAAATGCAGGTTGCAATCCATTAGTGGGTCATGAAATCAATTAAATGAAATAAAATAGAAAATAAAATACCAAGGTACATCACATATGTAAGTATAGGTACTGCTTACTGAAATTTTGTTTCAGAGGTATGTGTGTATGTGTATATGCTGGGTCATCATGCAAAATATATTTCAGCCCGTGATTCAGGGTAGACATGTTTGAAGGTCACTGATTTAGACCTTTCTCTGAGACCCTACTCAACCTACTACCCACTTTTGGCAGGCCCACCTTCAAGAGCAAAGATTAATTGCAAGAAGATAAGCCTTAGGAAAACTCAAGGCCTATCTTCTCCATATAAAGTACTTAGAGTACAACATCATACCCTAGGGAGGAGGGCAGATCTCACAAGTTTCTATACTGCCCTGAATTAGAAGCCCCACAAATGGTCAAGGATACCCAGTGAATCACAGATATTCCCTGTGCTCCAGGACTCTGTACTTCAGCCTAATATCAACTCTCTGGGAAGGCCTTTCAGCTGATGTTTAGCAGGACTTTGAGACTCTTAAGTGCTGTTTCTCCAGGGTCTTGACCCCTAGACAGCTGCTTGAATGTGGCTCTCAAGGCCACCATAAAATAGCCACCTGGGAGAACACCTAGGCAATTACTCCCCTGCACTTAGCTCCCAGGGGAATTATCATCTGCGGAAGTCCCCTACACAGTATAGAAAGTAGAAGTGCCAGCTGTAAAGTCTTTACTTTGAGCATCAGCATTGTTATTGAGAAAGGCCCCAGCACTTCTTCCTCCGCTGTACCATCCTGAATGTCTGAAAATCACACAAGGATTCAACCCATTTCATTTACAATGAACCCTGGTATGAAGGGATTTTAGCCTCATTTAGCTTCCACATTCAGTATATCCCAAGGTTCCAAAATAAAAGAAAGAGTCATCTCTAAAAAATCAAACTGATACCCATTGAGCTCCTACTAAGTGTCAGACATTTACACCTTTTGAATGATCTCATTTAATCTTTATAGTAACTCTATGAGGTTACCCAAATAACTTTAGGGTCAGAGAGGTTAAGTAACTTGTTAGAGGTCACCTAGCTAGTAAATGGTTGCTGCAGTGGAATTTGAACTTCAGTTTGGCAGGCTCTTGACCACTATTCCCACTCTACAGCCCTTCAGTAAAAGGCCTCTCTGCCAACAAGGACATAGATTCTAAGGCCAACTCATGCAGAGCCAGTGCTTTCTCTGCATGACTGGCCTAAGAAGCAAAATGACCAGGATGTGGATGCCTTCTCCCTGGCTAGCTCCCTGGACAGGTTGCTTACATCTCTGAGCCTCAGATTCCATCCACGCTAATACATGGACTATCTCCGTCAGGAGGCTGCTACAAGGAAGACATAAAATAATGACATGAAAGCATTTTGTAAAGCATAATATCCTATGCCAACAAAATACTCTAAAAAGCCATACAATTAATTAGCTGAATGTGTCTGCATTTTCCCTGTTGGATTGGGAGCCCTTTCATTGGCTCCCATTGCTCTTAGAATAAAACCCAAAATGCCTACTTGACCAGCGAGGCCTGTACAATATAGCCCTTTGTTTCCTCCCCCTTTCTCAAGTGTTCCAAATTTACTGACTTCTCTGTTCCTATCTCAGGGCCTTTGAACATGCTATTTTCTCTGCCTGATATATTTCTCACCTCTACCCACAACCTCTACTCCCCACCCCCACTTTGCCTAACTAACTGTTCATCCTGTTAAATGGCAGATAAATTTCCTTGGGGCAGCCTTACATGACTAGGCAAGGTCATTCTATTACACACTCTCATTGCATACCCTGTGCCTCTCTTCCACAGCACTTTGGAACACATTTACTTTACGTGCATAGTGAGGGTGACCATTAGTGATTGAATATGTGTCTTTCCCATTGGAAGGGAAGCTCGATG